TACATATACATATATATATATGCAAATACATATACACATATACATATAGATACGCACTCACACATACACACACACACACAGGCATATATATATATATATATATATATATATATATATATATATATATATATATATATATATATATATGTATGTATGTGTATAGATATATGTATACAGACACACACTGACACACACATACACAAATAATGATAATAATGATGATAATGATTGCAATAATGATGATAATGATGATGATAATGATGATAATGATGATAATGATGATAATGATGATAATGATGATAATGATCATGATAATGATAGTAATGATGATAATGATGATAATAATGATGATAATAACAATAATAATGCCCATTTATAATAAAAAAGGAAAAAGAAAAAAAATCCCAAAAGTCGAAAAAGCGGCAAAAACTAGCGAAATATAGCCTTTTCAGAGTTTACTCCAAAATGACGTTTTTTCGATTTCAATGATGATTTTGGCAATTATTAGGGTAATAATGATGATAATGATCATAATTGTATTAATCATGATAAAAAGGAGAATAATGAGAATTTTGATAAAATTGTAATTATAATAATAATTTTGATAATAATAGGAATACTTGTAATAATAGTATTATTATTGTTATTATTATCATTATTCTTATTATTATCATTATTATTATTATTATTATTATTATTATTATTATTATTATTATTATTATTATTATTATTATTATAATTATTATCATTATTATTACTTTTATTATTGATATTATTACAGAAAAAATATTATAACTGTAATAATAACAATAACAACGATAATAATGATAATAATAATTATTATAGTGATGATAATATTGCTTATTATTATTATTATTGTTCGTATTATCATTATTATTTTTTTTATTATTAGTATAATTGCAAAAAAACCCAAAAAACCGTAATAATTGCTATAATATCGCTAATAATAAAAATAAGGATATTGATAATTATTATAAAAACGTTATTATTGTTATTACTGCTTTTATTATCATTATCATTATTTTTATTATTGTTATTACTGTTATAATTGCAAAAAAATATTATAACCGTAATTATTGCAATAATAACGCTAATAATAAAAATAATGATATTAATAATTATTATAAAAACGTTATTATTGTTAATACTGCTTTTATTATTATCATTATTATTTCTATTATTGTTATTATCGTTATAATTGCAAAAAAAAAAAAAAATATTATAACAGTAATAATTGCAATAATAACGCTAATAATAAAAATAATGATATTAATAATTATTATGAAAACGTTTTTATTGTTATTACTGCTTTTATTATCATTATTATTATTTCTATTATTGTTATTACTGTTATAATTACAAAATAAAAATATTATAACCGTAATAATTGCAATGATAACGATAATAATAAAAATAATGATATTAATAATTATTATAAAAACGTTATTATTGTTATTACTGCTTGTATTATTATTATTATTATTTTTATTATTGTTATTACTGTTATAATTGACCAAAAAAAATATAACCGTAATTATTGCAATAATAACGATAATAATAAAAATAATGATATTAATAATTATTATAAAAACGTTATTATTGTTATTACTGCATTTATTATTATTATTATTATTTTTATTATTGTTATTATTGTTATAACTGCAAAAAAAAAAAAAATTATAACCGTAATAAATACAATAATAAGGAAAATATTGATAATTATTATAAAAATTGAAAACTCGATTTTTGTTATTATTATTATTATTGTTGTTTTTATTATTTCTATTATTTCTAATAATTGTATTATTACTAAAAAAATATATATGGCGGCAATAATTACGATAATAATGATAATATTGATAATAATGATAAAATTGAAATTGCGATTTTCGTTATTATTTTTATTATTATTGTTATTATTGTTATAATTATTTCTACTAGTAGTATTATCAGCAAAAAAATATATATGGCGGCAATAATTACAATAATAATGATAATAATGATGATAATGATGCTAATAATTGCAATAATGATGATAATGATGATGATAATGATGATAATGATCATGATAATGATAGTAATGATGATAATGATGATAATAATGATGATAATAACAATAATAATGCCCATTTATAATAAAAAAAGGAAAAAGAAAAAAAATCCCAAAAGTCGAAAAAGCAGCAAAAACTAGCGAAATATAGCCTTTTCAGAATTTACTCCAAAATGACGTTTTTTCGATTTCAATGATGATTTTGGCAATTATTAGGGTAATAATGATGATAATGATCATAATTGTATTAATCATGATAAAAAGGAGAATAATGAGAATTTTGATAAAATTGTAATTATAATAATAATTTTGATAATAATAGGAATACTTGTAATAATAGTATTATTATTGTTATTATTATCATTATTCTTATTATTATCATTATCATTACTGTTATTATTATTATTATTATTATTATTATTATTATTATTATTATTATTATTATTATTATTATTACTATTACTATTATTATTATTATTATTATTATTATTATTATTATTATTATTATTATTATTATTATTATTATCATTATTATTAATTTTATTATTAATATTATTACAGAAAAAAATATTATAACTGTAATAATAACAATAACAACGATAATAATGATAATAATAATTATTATAGTGATGATAATATTGTTATTATTATTATTATTGTTAGTATTATCATTATTATTTTTTTTATTATCAGTATAACTTCAAAAAAAAAATATTATAACCGTAATAATTGCTATAATAACGCTAATAATAAAAATAATGATATTAATAATTATTATAAAAACGTTATTATTGTTATTACTGCTTTTATTATCATTATCATTATTTTTATTATTGTTATTACTGTTATAATTACAAAAAAAATATTATAACCGTAATTATTGCAATAATAACGCTAATAATAAAAATAATGATATTAATAATTATTATAAAAACGTTATTATTGTTAATACTGCTTTTATTATTATTATTATTATTTTTATTATTGTTATTATCGTTATAATTGCAAAAAAAAAAATATTATAACAGTAATAATTGCAATAATAACGCTAATAATAAAAATAATGATATTAATAATTATTATAAAAACGTTATTATTGTTATTACTGCTTTTATTATCATTATCATTATTTTTATTATTGTTATTACTGTTATAATTGCAAAAAAAAATATTATAAAAGTAATTATTGCAATAATAACGCTAATAATAAAAATAATGATATTAATAATTATTATAAAAACGTTATTATTGTTATTACTGCTTTTATTATTATTATTATTATTATTATTATTGTTATTATCGTTATAATTGCAAAAAAAAATATTATAACAGTAATAATTGCAATAATAACGCTAATAATAAAAATAATGATATTAATAATTATTATAAAAACGTTTTTATTGTTATTACTGCTTTTATTATCATTATCATTATTTTTATTATTGTTATTACTGTTATAATTGCAAAAAAAAATATTATAACCGTAATTATTGCAATAATAACGCTAATAATAAAAGTAATGATATTAATAATTATTATAAAAACGTTATTATTGTTAATACTGCTTTTATTATTATTATTATTATTTTTATTATTGTTATTATCGT